ACAGCACGCCGGAACGAAATGACATCGCGGGGCTCACAAACGTCGTGGACAACCAGAAACAACGAAAGGACAACCGAATCCGCGCAACTGGAAGCGCACCGTGCTCAGACCCCGTGCAGTCGCGCGCGGCCGGGCCTGACGGCGAGCGCTATTGCTTGTCTGCCGGCACCGCCCGTGGCGGCTACACGAGCTGTGGGACTCGTTAGCCCGCGATGTGTCATTTGGACGATGACGTGACGGCCGATGCGTCACTCCGACAGCGACGTGACGGCCACACCTGGGCCGCGCCGACGGCCGGCGTCAGCTGCATCGGCTCCGCGCCGCTGACCTGGCGACATTGCTCCCGGCAGGTGCCCCGGTCAATATCCGCGTGGCAGGCTCAGCAGAGGTCGCAGGCCCGGCGCTCTGCCTGCGGCGCTGTTTGCGCCGCCGCCACCCTCCCCCGCGCCGTCCGCGCCCCACCCGCGGGGAGCGGGCCGGGCCTCTGGCGGCCGCTTTCCACGCGCGCTGCCTGGCGCTTCCAGCAGCCGATAAGAGGCGGGGCGGGGCTGGCCGAGGGCAAGTTTGGCGAAGCGGTCGCCGACGATGAATGCCCGGGAGTCAGCGGCGGCCGGGATCTCGGACGTACTTTGTTCGGCTCAGCCGCCCTTTGACCGGGCTGCCGCTGATTGCATTAGACGCGACCACGGCAACTAAGCGCCGCTGGCGGCCGAGATTCGGCCGAAGTTCTGCCTCCGCTGTCCGTAGTTCACGCTCGCTGAATGCAGCCGCTCCTGCTTGACATGCCAGACTGACCTCATGTGAACATCTTCGGTGAGTAGCGCTCAGCTTCCAGCGCGGACGACTCCGCAGCTGAACTGCAGAGACGAGGGGTACGCGTGGCTCCCCGAAATGTACGAGGACTGTAGGCCCTTTGCTCTTCCATCTGTTGTACCGAGCTCTAATTAAACGGAAACAAAGACGGTCGCGCTGCAGCCTAATTACCATGTCAATTCGCAATTAAGACTATGCCCCAACTTTCCAGACGTCATAAATGTCCTTCGAAGTTGGAACGCGTTTGTCTCCGCGAGTCGCCCCTATTCAATCGCTGGTAGGGGTGATCGACCGCGCCCCACGTGCGACGACGAGACCAGGCATGGCGCCATCTCGTGGAAATACGAGAGATGTCTAGACACTGAAAGTCTTTTGGCGAAAGCCCCCCGGCGGATGCTTTTTTTGTTCGGGGCAGCTCTCCCTGCGTAAACGTTCTCGTTTAAGGAGTTCAGGGGGATCAAGCGGATGCTGCACGATAGGCTGCTTGCGACCTTCGGGAAAGTGCTACAAATTGAAGGGAGCAGCTGTTTGCAAGAACGAAGTCAACTCAACGTTGCCTCGGCCTACGCGGCCGTTAACCTTGGATAAAAGTGGTTGCATATGCGAAAAGAGTGTTCATGATCACTCGGTTCAAGGCCGCATCCGGTCTGATGGAGTGATGAGGTCATGCTGAGGACGATGGTGAGGTTGACGCCATGCTAGGTGAAGTCGTGAGAGTCGCTGCAAGTAGTGCACGCATTTTCAACGTTAAATGCGCCAAATATTTCGTGGTGCATGCATATTTAAAGTTCAAGGTCATCCAAGAACGGAATCACGCTGCCATGGGGCGACTTATGACGACATCACCTTGCGCTGTGGCATTCCGTGGTGGCATGCTTGAACGGTGACGGGCTAAATTCAGTCAGCGTATAAAGTAATCCCAATGGTTGACAAAATGCGACCTTATGTATGCATGTATGCATGTATTCACGTTGCAGAACAATCCAATATGTCATGCATTTCATGAACTGATAAAATATGCATTTGGCTATTACTGTGTTATGTCTTAAAACATCCCTGGATGAAGAAACGCTCACTTATCGAAAAAAGGCACACACATCTCACATCCATTAAAAACGCGTATATGTAAAAAATGCCTTACTTCGTTTAACGCAAGCGCACAATCACGCCATCGCAGTCGACCAGAAATGTCACGCAGATTGGGAGACGCCTTACTAGCCTACGCTCTCCGAGTCCTACTTGTGTGCATCAGGTGCAGAATTGACAGGGCAGAATCGACCCCCACGCTGGTAGAAGGTGGCAAAACCACCGGAGCTGGCGAGAGTTCATAAGCTTGCTCCTAGAATACACCCTGAGTGAAAAGTCAGTGCATTAGAGCGTGACGAGCGATATCTGCCGTTGCCGCGATGGGAGAGGTGAAACATCGAGCTTACTTGTACGCTGGTGACGCTTTTCATTGAGAGCAAAGTGAAAGGCTGAGAACCGACGTGAATAATATTTTGCGCAGCTTTGGCAAAAAGCGTCCTATATCGCAGTATCTACGCCCCGTCGTCACTGGAACTTAACGACGCCTCAGTTGCTAAGGCTGAATGGCGTCGCCTGCCTCCCACCCTGGCAGGAAGGACGGGCACCGTGGGGGATCAAACCCCGTACCCTTGTTTTCCAGACACTCAGTGGTTAGGTATCTACTCCCCATCCCAGCACTATCCAAGCCCAATTCCCAGCACTTCCGTATCAACGGGATTCTATCCCCCGTACCCACTTATCCTCAAAACTTGTCACTGTTACAATCTGGTTGTGTGGTAAGTTATGTTCTTTCACCAGGATGACCAAATTGATGGTCGCCACCACGAATGGATGTAACGGCCTATCCAGTCAAAATAGGTATAATGACTACGTCATAGTTCATCGTTCTTAAAGGTGAAAAGGTTGCAACAGCACTGATCTGAAACGACGATTGCACAGCTGCTAGAAATTTCTTATATTGACGGGCACGGCAGATACTTATGTCATGCCCGAGACTCAAACATTAACCCGAGTTTCAACGACCACTGCGCCGGCAATGCACGTACACAAGCTCCCGCACACAAGCTCAGCGGGTAACACAAAAGCCTTAACGAGCTACTCAACCCTTCCCAGGTACGCCCTACACTACTGCACTTTTGCACAGCTCATTGAAAAACCTCGCCGTTCGTTGAGTCGGCGTGGCACTGCTCATTATCACCGCCATCCGATCCTGCGGCGGCTGGCAGCGGCGCCGCAGCGGCCGGCCGACGTCAGGGTCCCTTTGGCGGCGGCGGCGCACACGCGCGGCCCGCCGTTCTCCGGCTGGCCGAGCGCGGCTGCCAGACCGCGCTGGCCGGCACGCAGTAATGAAGACACGGCTGGCGGAGGTGATGGGCGGCGACGACCGGCCTCGCGACGCGCATCGATTGTGACGATCCCTGGCGTTCCCCGCCGGCCGCGTGCGTCGGAGACGATGCGGCCGGCCGGCGCGCACGCGTTGCCGGCGTGCCCGGCGGCGGCCAGCGACGGGTCGCGGTTGAAAGGCAGGCTGCCGCTGCTGCTGGAGAAAAGCCTGCGGCTGTATACGTAAAGCTTCTCGCATTAAAAGCTTCACAGATGTATGCGTCGGCCGTGAGCTACGATCTACATCATGGTAATCGGCTTACGCTTCGGCTTCCAGCGCTCCAAGCCGGTGATTACTTAGTTTTCAAGGAGAGGTGAACAACTTTACATCCGTGCGGATTCATGTTCGAAAGCATGCACATCAATCCAGGATCTATTCAACTGAGCTCATTCTAGCTTCAACCGTGCGGTATGGAACGTGTGTGTTTATCTGAGTGCATGCCACTTGTGCCATGCTCACTGGTGTGAAAGAACGCTGCACAGGGTGAACCTCGTAATTCACCGGTAATGCACGTTGTTAGAATGCGCCTGTTATTCATTTTTGAGCCCACCTATACATGTACCTGCAAACGTGACTGCGTCAGCTTCATTTACATCTCTTCGAACCGTTTTCCATTAACCGACTCTAAAGTCGTTATTCAGGCACACTAAATCCGGTTTCAATTCCAATTAGCGTCAGGGGTCTGGGGCCGGTACGTGGGCTCATCAGATGGCCGCTAAAATGTTGCAGCGTGAATTTAGATGCTGCTTCAACTTCCTTCCCTTGAACTGATTGATCAATTACTGGAGTTCAAGGCACGTGTTTCGGTGTCAGCTGACTGGCCACTGATAGCACAACTTTTGGCATATATTCTCATAATGGCTTTTTACGTGCATTCACGTATATTTCGACCTGAATCGAGAGCAAGTTTCAACTGACTTGCACTTGGTGTTAGTTGTCACCGCTATTGAGATCACCGAAGAACCCGCCGTTGCGAGGCCGTGCTCGCCCTGCTCAAAACATCCTGAAGTCACCTCATCCATTTCATGCAGCAGATCCTGTCCCGCTACTGATGGGAAGAGCTCCTGGGTCGCCATGCAGGTGTCCGCCCCAGCAGTCGAAAAGAGGCACACAGGTGGAAATCTCCGTGACCCTCGAAATCTCATCCCCAGCCGGGGGTCGGACCAGGAGCACGCTCCGGTAATTGCGCCGGGACCCGGCGGAGCCGACACTGAGCCGCGCTCGAGGCCGTCCCATCTCGTCTTAGAGCCTCGGAGCCACAAGCCGTGATCCGCGGCCGGGTCGGTCCCACCTGAGCCCGCCGGCGCCGCCGGCCGCCAGGTGCCGACGCCGGCCGTCGTCGGCCCCGACGAGGCTGCGTCGCGACCGACGGAGGCGGCTCAGTCGGTCCGCGGGGCGCCGTGCTGGCGGAGGTGGTCGACGGGGCTGGCCGGTCGGACCGCCGCAGTCGCCGGCGCAGCTCTGGGACGTGCCCGCTGCAGCAGCCGGTGCTGTCTGGTGACATTGGCACAGACTCGGCCGCTGACACTGTCCAATGACACTGTGAGCGTTGCAGCCAGCAGCACAGTCCCTTGACACTGTGACAGCCGCAGCTGCCGGCACCGTCCCGTGACATTTTGGCCAGGCAGTTTTGGGGACAGTTTTGTGGCACTGTGACCACCGCAGCTGTCGGGTCGGCTCTCTGACACCGTAGCAGCAGCAGCTGCAAATACACCTCGACACACCTCTCGACACACCGCCGCACCCACGGGCTCACGCCGCGGCCGAGTTCCGGACCATGTGCGCCATGGCCGCCCCGACCGACCAGGACGACTTCGAGGTGATGAAGAACAGCTACCGCTCGTCCACGTCGAACCTGGCGCTGAGCGAGGCGCTGCAGCAGCTGGAGGAGAGTCGCGCGGCGCCGCGCAGTCCCCGCAGCCCGCAGGCGTTCCACCTGTCGCGGGCGACGCGCGCCAACACGGCGCCCTCGGCCGTGGGCGCGACGCGCGGCCGCACCGTCGACCGCTCGCCCAGCCCGCGGACGCCTCGCAGCCCGCGGAGCCCTCATAGCCCGCGCAGCCCGAGCGTGTCCCGCTCGCCGTCCCCGCATCCGAGCAGGTGAGGTGGCCGAGGGGAGACGCGGCAGCGACGGTCAATACGGGCCGCCGGCCGGCCGCCGCCAGGAAATGAGGCGATCGGAGACAGCGTCCCGTCCGGTCCCCACATCGGCCAGCCGCCGGATAATGCCCCGTCTGTTGACGCTCGCCTCGAGGCGGTGTTGTGGTCCGGGCTCGTTCTCGAGATGAGCACGTCGGTGGTCGGCAATGAAAACAGTGCCGTGGGGCTGTCCGGGGAGGCGTTAATCCAGGGGTGTCAGGCTGAGCGGGCAGGCCTGTGGCGTTAACGGTGTTGTTCTGCTGTGGGAAATTGTCCTTGAAGAAACGATAACGAGTGGAAAATTTGGGTTGTGCATGCAAAACAAGCGCATTTATTATTCGTCGAGAAGACGCTGCTGTCGTGCAGAGCTTGGCAATGCGAAAAGTTCCAAACAGAAACATAACAACGATCCCGACTAAATTTTTCCCCTGGTAATAAAGACATGTCAGAATAACTATGAAAATGAGGAATGCTGTTATCAAAGTGCTCTGAATCTATACCAGAATTACATATGAATGCTGTAATAATTCATTTCGAACGTTAAAACAAGCATTATCGCACAGTCAAGCCATGTTTTTCCACAACAGCAATCAGACAGTGACTCCGTCTTTGATTCTCCATACTCCAATTGTCTTTGATCATAGCGGCTCGTTTTTTAGCTAATATTTCAATGATAGGTCATTTTAAGACGTTTTAGAGCTGCATTAACCAAGTCTAAAAACTACTGCACGTGGAATAAACCTGAGAAGGGGTGGCCGCTTCATGCCTTCGTGTTGTAACTGCAGTTTGCTTTCCCTCTCCTGTCAACCGACCAACAATAACAATACTTTGACTTTACACACACTCTCAAGAGCCCGTCTGGATGAAAAACGCGCGAGGACACAGACTGCCAGCATCGAGCCAAGTCGGGGTTGTGGGAGACATGCGGCACAAATCTGGTGCCCCATCTGTGATGTGCTGCTCTCGCACGTGGTGGGATGCCTCGGCATCTGGGCAGCTTCAGCGTATCCCAGTCGCGGTGTTTATGAATTGTAGAAGCACTCGCTCGTCCGCTTCATTTTTAAATCCGACGATCCTTCCGATCCTTCCAATTTCCGTTCCATTTCCATCGTCCCAGTCCTCAACTAAATTCAAGACCGCGCCGTCCATCAGCAGCTCTACAGTAATCTTTCCAAAAGCCACCTCCTTATTCCTATTCAGCACGGCTTCCGCTCCGTCACTCGACGGAAACCGCACCGACCACAATGTCTTACCACCGTTCATTCGCCTGTGACCATTAAGATGTCTTTCTTCTGTTCCCACTGGAATTAGACCAATGTTTCGATGCGAGGGACCACTCAAAACGTCGATCAAAGTTAAATCTTCGTAGCATCGACTCATCCTGGTTTTCTGACGTTATCCTTGTTTTGAATTTTCGGAACGAAAGGCTGAGTGTGAGTTTCAGTTACATTAAAATAAACGCAAAATATTGGCATACTTGCGACGGGTGTGAAATACGAAGAGACCAAAAAGTTGCAACTTACATGCAAGTTTGCTTGCATGGCTATGGGTTCAGGGTATCTGCTGAACATAGCTTGTTGCATATGCCCTGAACCCACCATCGAAGCTGTGTCGTTCAATTCATCGGACAATTTTGCATCTGCCCTTTCGCCGAACAGGGCTGCAGAGGCCTTCAACTGCCGCACAATACTACGGCACGGCCGCCCGGGCCTGAGTTGACCCTTGATGGCCAGTTACCAGCAAAACATTCCCAGATCATTTTCGTCGAGCAATATGGGACCCGTGCCATGAGTCGCTGGATTACGAATCCAGCATCTTTTCCAAGACCAAAAAGCCAGGATCTGGATAATGTAAAAATATATCCCCCCACTGCCCAAGAGCGTCAGCGTTTTTCAATGATCGTTTTCAGACCTCTTTTCTGCTGGGTCAACGACATCGGCCCGTCCGCCGAAGACGTGATGGCTGTCCACTGCGCCGACGACACTCAAATAGTGGCAAAAATCCTGACATTCAGAAAGTCGTCGCTCGCATTGAACGAGCCATGGTCTCCCTCAACATTTGGTTCCAAACAAAATGGACCCAAAGTAAATGCCGCCAAAACCGAACTGATGTTTTTCGGTATCGCACGAAATCTGCGCAACGCTTCGGAATTACAAGACAAATTCCGCGCCTTTGACCTACTCCTCATTTTGGAGGCCTAAAGTCGTGGCCAAAGCCTTCACCGCTCTCTCAGTTCGGACTAGCACGTTGCCATGGTAACTAGGGTCCGCTTTGGGGCCCTGAGTGGTCAGTCACATCTGGCGGGGTAACCTACCAGTACCACCCGCCATCATCTCTGCGGCGAGAGCCCCAGCCTTCTCACAGATCCGTTGGTGCATTTCGAGAGATGGCAACAACACAAAACAGGGCCTCTTTCGCCACGAAATTGCCAACTTATCGACGACAGTAATTTTTGGTCGTAGCAAACGACGGCCGTACGTCGGGTCTGGTAAGGAGGATGACGTGAGTCATCACAATCTCACATTGTCTTAAGCACAACTGTGCCGTTACGGTGAGCGGGCCGGAGAGCTGGCAGCAACCTCACCGCTGCTGCGGAGACCCGACACCGCACCACCCGTCATGCCTTCCCTGGCGTTCACCGCGGTCCCGCGCTGGGCTGGGTAGGAGGCGTGACGGCTGTCGGGGTCGGACGCTCTGCAGCGTGCAGCCGCCGAAAGTGCTGCGGCTTCCCGCGCCGCTGTTGAGCCGTCACCTCAGGTGACGTCACGTCTGGTGACGTCACGTCTGGTGACGTCCGTCTGAGGCCTTCCAAGGCAGATCGACTGATCGGAGGGTCGATCTCGCTTCATCATCTCTCCGACTTGACGGCATTTGTTGCAAGAGGTTTGCGATAAACACGCGAATGACCACATTTTATCCGGCAGGGGCAACGCTCAGCATATATAGCGTCAGACAACTTCTTTGATGAGAAGTATGGGGCATTTTCGAGTGCTTTTGTCTCTTCAGAAAAATTATCGTGTGATAACAAACCATGCTGATGCGTTGATAATAGTTATGGACCGATTTACGTGTTATATGTCAAGCAATTTTCCAAGTTGAAATGTTTTGAGTTTGTGGCCATGAAGCATGGTGTCAAAACTGTTTTAAAATATGGGAATATGAATCAGAGGCGTTTGATATACAATACCGTTTTTAAAAATCGATCAGTTGTAACTTTTTGAACATTCTTGGTAGTTCGAGACAGCACGCTCAAATTACTCTATATGGTTGTTGGTAACCAAATCATGAGATTCTACGCAATTTTTACAAACACATCTAGGTATGTCTCGAAATTTCCAGTGCACAACAATTACAGTGATCTACCCGCATCTTTCCGCTCTCCAGCCCCACCCTCTACCCGTCTCACCTAATTTGGATGTGTTTACCAGGTCCCCGTGACAGCTCAGTTGTGTTTACCAGGTCCCCGTGACAGCTCGGGTGTGTTTACCAGGTCCCCGTGACAGCTCGGGTGTGTTTGCCAGGCCCACATGACAGTTCGGGGATCACCAGGTATGTACATGCATTTGATCAGCTTGAACACATCCGACAATGCCAGAGAAGCCGAAACGGTGAAAGTGCTGGATGCCATCACTTCTGCATGAGAAGGCCAGAAACGCAGCGTGTTCCAACACAGATTGCCCAGTGCGCGGTTGTCTGAGACCTCGGTGCTGGTGTTCTTTGATATCAATGCCACCACATGCCTTCTTGTGAGATGTGGCGAAAAGTGTCCGTGTTAATATGTTTCCGAAGGTCGATGGATTATCGTACGATATTAATACTATTGCACTTGTTCTAGCATTAGACAGCTCCTCAATCAGCAAAAAATCGTGAATTTTGCTTGTTTTTTAATTTCAGGAATAGGGGGGGGGGGAGGGTTGAAAAAAGCGCTAAATTCACAGCATAGATCGAAACCTATATGGTTTCGTTTGTGTCACGTTTTGAAGTTTAGGTCTTAACCTTAGGGTCAAATAAAGTAAAAAAGCTCGAACTAGTACAAAGGTCAAATCAATTTCTTGAGTGCACATATACCACATCATGCACACACCTTAGAGGTAATGTCTGGTCCTGTAAGCTTAGCAACATCACCTGACACGTTTAGGTTTTGTTGGAAAACTTAACATAGTTAACCGTAACACATGCGGGGGTTTGTTGAAAGGTGGTCACGCCGCCACAATAACGCCTTCCAAACCTTACTAGCACTTAAAGGCGGAACCACACAGATGAGTCGAGACTTGGGGCTGGGCGGAGATCGTGGACGCTGCTTAGTCATATCAAATACGTTCCAACGGCGCCGTCGTACAATGATATCGCCAAATCTCTACGACCAAGTACACTTGTGCTTCAAGTGGCTCGCACCGCTGTTTGCGCTGCTCCTCGCCCGGGAGCAGACGGTGCGGGCCTCGTACGACAGAGGGTCCCAACAGGAGGCCCATGGCACGCGCCGTCTGCGTGCTATCGACCAGCCCCGCATGCGGTGGCGTCCTCACGCCTGGCACAGTGCGTCGCCTCGGGGAATGTGGACGTCACAGGGAAAAGGCAAACGATAAGCACCTTTTTTAAGTCCATCTTTTCACTTACCAATATTGTGGGATGTCAACCTCATCGGGGAAGGAAGTGTACGGCCCACGGATTCCATGCTCGTAAAGGTATGCATGACTTGCGCCGCGTGCATCAGAAGACAGCGGGCTGGGGATACCGCTATTAACGGGCAAAGGTTGCGAAGCATTACTGTACCTGCACGTTGCTGGCAGATTTAAAATGCAAACGTATGCAATCCACTTACTCTGGATGCCGACAAGGGTGTGGCTGTCGGAGTGCTTCAACGACGTTAATGGAAAGTGCCAGTTATGCTTGCCATCACTTAGCTGAGCGCCCTCCGCGCCCAATTGTCCGGTGGGACTGTCTTCATGCATACATGCATA